TTTTTTTTAAAGGACAAAGTCTAGTCTATGTTATGCATAGACACTTGGTATTTCTGCAACTTTATATAAAACTTTCTGAGAGCAGACTTGGAGGCTTCTGTACTGTGCCTTTTCATTTTCTTTCTCTGAATAGACCCATAATATTCAGGGAAAATACCAAGAATAATAAATCCCAATCTCTGTGTAAAATATACCTCCACGACACACTCAAGCTGGAAATCAGAGGAGCCAGTAAAAATGCAGGCAGCCTACCGATAATGAGGTCAGAAATACAAATAAATTTACTTTTAATGAAGACTGGAGGCACAGTAATCAAAGTGTTAAAATTCATTTCATGCATATCTCATTTGCTTCTTAGCTGATATTTACCACGCAATTCTGTGAGAAACTAGAGGCCTAAGATGCTCCAGATAAATGGCTCAATTAATTGTACAGAGGTAGACCTCTTTGAGCTGAGCCAGAGCTGTGAGCTCTTTATTAAAAGCACCATTCTGTAGCCCCTAACCTTGTTCCTTGACTCCTCTCTGGTTTCCAATTTAAACAAGTCCCCATGCGGCCTGCTCTAAAGGGCTTTGTCTCCCTGTCATTGTTAAGAGAGCGAAGGCATCCTGGAAGTGTGAAATCAGACCTCATGAGTTGAACGGTTCCCCAGGGAACGCTGGACTGCGCAGAAGGTCAAAGTCATGGGCCGGACTATCTCAAAGTGTCTGATCGCCCGGCTGTGACACAGCAAGTTGGGGGTGGGGGCCAGGCTGAAGAGGACTGAAATTGAACACATCTTAATTAAAGCCCACAGACAGCAAAACAAAATGTTTTCTAGGCAGCCTGTCAAATGGGGCTTAAATTTAGCTCTGCTAATGAATCTGAGCTGCTAACTGTTATTTCTTAAGATAATAAGACTCTCACGGAAGCTGATAAAAAAAAAAAGAAAAAAGAAAAAACTGTAGCGTGTCTTTTTCTGCTGTTTTGTTACTTAAATATTTTCCAACAATGAAGACAGTTTTCCAAAAGGAAAACATGGGAAAAGTCTATGCAAATAAAAGGATAGTAAACATCTCTCTTAATAACTAGTAGGTTTCCTGCCTATGGGCTGATGAGTCAGTTTTATGCCTAGCCTTGTTTTAGAAAAAAAATCCTATGCTGGCTTAATGGGACCACTGCAGGGATAGACTGTGTTAATTGTAAAATTTTCTCTCTCTTGCTTTTTCTCTTCTTCTTTTCCTCCCTCCATTGTTTCCAGAGAGGGATGGTACATTTGTTAGCTAGATCAATTCAACTGGAGAGGAAGAGTTCGATATTCATGTTCTTTTTAATAGGGTAAAATAAGGCAGGGTATTTTGGAAGGGCTTCGGAGTTCTCCAACATCACTATTCCTGAAACCGAGTGGCTAGTCTTCTGGAGAGGCTATGACCTCTTCCTCGGAGAAAAAAAAAAAAAAAAAAAGCAAAAAACAAAAAAACAACCAACCCCAAAATGGAAACCACACACCACAACCCAGGGAAGATGAAGGGGCGGGCTGAGGAGAGGACCTCTTTTCTTTTTCTTGTCTTAGGCTTGAAAGAACCGACAGGACTGGCCTAAACACTCAGCAAAGAAAGCCTCCCTCAGCATAGAAGACTTGCAATGCTCACTTGAAATGAGGCTGTGCTGGAGGCACACAATGATCAGAAGCTAGAAAAAACAAGTTACAACAACCGTTTCCCACCACTCCGAAAAACTCCGGGCTGCCTCTTCTCTCAGTCTGTCCAGTTTCAGCAGTGTAGAGAATCTTGCCCGGCGAGCACAGGGCCTACATTCTCTACCTAGGTTTCACTTTGATGGTGTAAAAAACGTTAACCTTTTCACTGGTTAGCTGAAAGGTAAGTAAGTTGTATTGAGCGGTATTTCTCTGTGACTCCAACTTTTTCCCCTCATGAAGAATTTAGCGGACCAACGTCTCAAACCGGAGTGCCACTTTCTCAGGCTGTGAAAGGCTGCCCACAATTTGACTGAAATTTCAATCCACTCTTGTGCCTTGTTCAATGCGTGTGTATGTGTGGGAGTTGTAAATTGAGGCCTTAACCACCAGAGTTAATCTCTTTTTTAAATCTGTATTAACCTTAATGATTTGAAGTGTACTGTCCAACACTGGGCTATTGAGACCGAAGAAAAAACTACCCTCAACTATCAACAGTTTATTAGGGGCTTAACTGAAGTGACCTACTGTAGTAGTATTCAGCTGAACAAGGCCATGGACTTTTTGTGGAAAGGGAAAGAATTGAGGGTTTCATTAAAAAGTAATTTGTGCTTTATACTCACTCATTCAAAGAGAGTTTCAATTGCTCTTTATTCACAGAGTTAATACAGTATCGCAATGTTTCTCAATGAATGTGTTGTAACAAAAGAAAAATTTTACATTTTGAAAGGGAAAAAAATTCTTTGTAACAGCAGTGAGATTGATGGCTACTTAAAAGATTATGGAGTCTTTCTTTGCTGTACTCATGTTTAATGAGGGAATATTAAAATTTAAAACTTTTTCTTAAACAATGGAAGTTTAACTTGATGTTCAGATCATTAAAAGTATTTTGAAAATAGAAAAGTTGATCAAATATAAGTTTGTCTTGTTAGACTTGTCTAGAAAAAAGCATCACGAAATCAACTGGAGTAAGAGCTTCGTTTGTACTGTATCTGAAAGTATTCTTGTGTGGGCAATCAATGATTTAAAATCTCCCTCTTCAACCTGCAACCCTGCTCAATAAGTGCATATTTGGAGATTGGAAGACAGCACTATTCACCTAATTGCCTCTTTCAAACTATGGTTTCATATTGTAAACAGTTTGGCTATTGCTATCCACTGAGATGTGTATTGTATCATTAAAATTCTTCTTTGAATTGAGTAAGAGAGAAAGTATTCAAAGAGCTTATTTATGCCCCAAATGAACTAACAAAGACCAGGAAGCATCAGGACATATCTATATCTATATCTGTATCTGTATCTGTATCTGTATCTGTATCTGTATCTGTATCTGTATCTGTATCTACATCTATATAAATAGATACAATTTTCTTTCAGAAGAAAAATACCTTAAAAATAAGTTCTATATGCAAATGTTTCTGACTTAAATACATCATCATCAACTTTTTGCACTGTCACAGATGTCATAAAGACCACCAAAGGTCCAAGAGTGAACAAGGTCAAAGACTGAATTATCCACTTGCCCCATGAATAGCTCAACATCTCTCTGTTCAATTCAGAACCCATTAGATTATAAGGTCAGCATGGAATGAAAAATCATTAGATTTATATCCCTAAAACTGGAAGAAAAAAAAAAAAAGGAGACTCTGTTATTTAGTACCTCCCCCATTAATGTTCATTTTATCAAATCAAAGTTAGGTCTCACTGATTCCCTCAGGGAAAGGCTATTGTTACTCACATCAATTTACATAGACCCATTAGGAAGGAAATATCTCTATTTTTTTCCAGCTTTGAAAGAACATGTACTTTAACTTCCGTAGTGGCATATAGGCCAACTAGGTTAATATAGTTTGCATATTCATGAAGTTTTAAAATCAATGACAGCTTCTTTCTAAGAGAAGACAAACTTATACAATTGCACTCAGGTTGAATAGTGAGCAGGTAGCTACACCTCTGAAGTAAGGGTGGTTGGCTTTTTCTATTAGAAATTATTTTGCCCAGATTAATTTGCTTATAGCTGTACCAAAAGTAAAATCTATAAAAATGAATAAACAGCATCCAGTAATTGTTTAGTACAAGGATCTAAGTCTGAATATATGCAAAGAGAGGTAGCATATACAAACAATCTCTTTTCTACTATTGTTATTACCCTTATTTTGAAAAATAACTGACATTTGCTATTGCCTTCTTGGCTACAAATGAGTCAAAGGTTACCTCTTTAAAGACTATAAACTTCCAACCTTTTTATTTTATCATACAAAACATAGTCACTTGATAATATGTAAACATTAAACTTGAATATATCGCTGTTTTGAAGCAAACATCAGCTATTATATTTGGAAGGCAGTGATCTTTTAATTTGATTTTATCTTGTTGAATGAATTAAAGAAGGAGACAGACAGTGATTTGGGATGGTAGGAAAAGGACATTTCTTTCCTTTGAGCAAATCTGTTACATCTTTAAGGCCATCTTAATTAAAATTTACCAGGGCAAGCATATTTCTGCAAATAGGGGGATCTTTCTGGAAACAGGAAATTTGCACAAAAACTGGTCAAGTTAGCTCTATTAATGTCCATCTTGCAATAGATAATTTGATTAATGATGTAAATACTCCCAAAAGCCTTATATTAAGCATAAGTGAATGGTCATGCTTGTAAATTCAAAACAATGATAGTTGCCACTAGCCCATTTGTTATTATGTTATTGAAGTTGCAATATCAAAACTTTAAGAGGCAAAAATAATCATGGCATTTTTATAAGCCTGTTTCTTGGCCTAAAACTTTCAAATATTTAAGGGGCTTAATTTAGATCTAGAGTTACCTCTGGGATGGGCTGAGGAATTTGAACAATTATGTAATTGGAGCAGTGACTCCAACTGCAATAGTTCACACTAGTTACTGATCACTGTGCATCTAAGCTTTTCAATGAACCATGCAGTAGATTTTATGCATGCTCATACTGTAGGAGTGTATGCTGCCAATGAAGCTGATACTGTCTGAGAGAAGACAATTCAGCATTGCTTCAATATGCCAAAATGACAATACCTGGAAAAATTACTCCCACTACACTGATTAGATTTTGTGGGTTCCAACAATTCAGAAGATATCTTGCTCTTCATTATTTATCTTCAACATATCATCCTACATTTTAAAAAGCAGAACTGGTATAAAAGTCAGAGTTCACCAATCATTGTTGACATCAAACCCAAATGTTTGTATTTAATCTACCTACTTGATGATCCACTTAGGTAAAGCATGGGTCCAACTAGCCCTAGAGCTTGTGTATTGCTTGATAGGTGCAGCGGGAAAACAGCGTCATTCCTCACCTGTGACATCAGCAGCCATCAACCCTTCTGCCCTGATGACTTTCACCTGGAGAAATCCCACGTCTTTTAAGTTGTGAAATATCCGAAGTGGACTCTGAAAGACCCCAGCATTGAAATTAGGAAAGAAAATTCTTAAAATTCTCAAAAAGTATGCTGAGAAACATTTTTATGACTTTCCTCAGGATGTTACCTAATGGGGTCAAAAGGGTACATGTATTTAACTAGTACAAATTACCCTTCCACCATCATAGATGTACTCACACACACGCGCGCACACACACACATACATACATGCACAATTACATAGATAACTTTTGCTATGTAAGAAATTCTGAGAGACTAAAAATACTACATTTACATCCTATAAATGATTACCAATATTTGGTCAACATAAGGTTCAGAGTAGAGGCGTCTACTTTCCTCTTTCAAGGCCCTTACTAAGTCGTTCCAAGAAACCTTTCACCTCTATGTGATTTGGAAACCAGTGGTTCTCAGTATTGACTCTGAAGCTGTTGCACTCTTCAGCTGGGGGGTGAGTACAAAAATCAACCTTAAAGTACTGTCATTATTTTTTCTGCTATTTTCTCCTTGGTGAATTTTGGAAATTGCATGTACCCGATGAGGGCTAAATGACCTAAAGACACTGCTGATATTTAATCAAAAGGTATGTCTGTTGAGCCACAGAGATAGCCCAGCAGTCTTAACACCTGCCTAGGCAAGCGTAGGGACCTGGGCTCCATCCCCAGTAGTGCATGCCGTGCCTGTCCAGCCAGGGCACAACGAGCCGGCCACCAAGGCCAGGCGTGGTGGCACACGCCTGTACCAAATACATAAAAAAAACCCATATGCATGTTATTACTCTTTTCAAGAAAAGACACACATAATATTTTAAAATAAGGCAAATTGATGAATAAAAGTAAATCCAAAAGTAGAACTTTTTCTTAAATTTATTGTTTAATTTGCTATTATGGAACCCGTAGAAAGATGAAAAGTTTGAAAGAAGCAGCAAATGATAAAAATATTTAACTTTGGGTCTGTGGGGTAACCTTATGGTAGAATACCTGCCTTTAATACACTGGCCCTTGGTTTAATCTTCAACACTGGAAAAAAATGAAATGATTTAATTTTATAAATAAATGCTGGTACCATTATAATGAGCACAGAGCTGAAAGACGTGACAGCACAAGTCTAACTAATGGGCATGAACGGTTGAGAGGGAAAAAGGCACTCTAGACCACTGGAATGCCTTTGTGTGTCTACTCTTCAGAGTGGGTTTCCTCTGGAGAAGTCAGCACTTGCATTCAAAACTTGAAGTCATTTCTCTGTCATCATCTGCAGAAATGTTTTCTGATCAGGGATCATAACTTTTGCTTGGCCAAGTTGCGCATTAAAGTGTAGCATTTTAACTGGAGTGAAAAGCATTTCCTGCCTTGTATAACTAATGTCAGGATCCCCAGAGGCCAAAGGGTCCTGCACTAGGAACTGTACCAGCCCCCTCTGAGTAGTACAGCTTACACTCAGGCTCTCACCTTGGGACAGTCAGCAAATGAAATGCTGGTATGTGTGTAATCTCAGCCTCACTTTTTAAAGACAGTGTTTAGCACAGGATTAACTCTTAATCTTTAATTGTCTTTAAACAGTTGTTTATCACCAAAAATCTGTTTTAAATACCCAGATGACAGGTTTAGAAGACGCACTTCTTTCTTCATTTAAATTCCCATCAATTAAGGACTTCAGGACAAGGGCTTTAGACAACAGTATTGCAATTCTGAAGCTGGGAGGCATGCTGTATGCCTAGAGTGCCAACTGAGGTTGGGCAGCTTCCTGTGGCGCAGGTTACCCGACGTCATAAGCCAGGTAAGTTCCCTACAGGAATGATGGAGAGTAGTTTTATCAAAGGTTTAGTACTTTAAATTTCAGGAGTAATCTGCATCAAGTTTCAAGGCGATCCACACAAATGTCATCGGTGCTGGGGTCTGCAATCCCTGTGCTCTGTAAGCCTACGGAATGCATGGCCCTGTGGGGCTTCAGGTCTATAGCGTCACTTTCTGTTGGGGTGTGTGAGGAGGTCATAATTGTTCTCCAGGACAGCTGACACTTGGTAATTTATAGAAAATTTCAAATATTTAGACCAGTGGCACACAAATTATAATAAGAACCCCCAAAAGTGAATAAATATATCTGTTTAAAATATAAATTTAAGGAATGCTTCAACGAGAGCTATTTCTGCCTTGTTGTTTAGAGTTATTTTAGGAGGCCACAAAACCTGCACGGCTTCTGAAGCCAGAAATTTCCATAGCAGAAGAATCTATGATTTGCTGTGAATCCTTTCAGCCCTCAATAGATGGGAAAAGATTGAAATGCTCTGGAGAGGAGTCCTCTTTATTTTTTTAATGAAAGGCTGTATAATATATTTTCTCTATGGCTGCAGCAGCTGTCAGGGAGAGCAGCGTAGTTCAGCTCTATTACGGGCGAGGCAATACCCCATCCTATGGCACTGAGATGCTCCGAGGGGCCAGAGCTGATTGACAGCTTGTCACCGTGACGTCTTATTCCATCTCTGTTATGGAGAAAATTAATGTCACACCACCAGCCTTATGACTCGCTGTCATCTTAGAACTGCTCACCTTTTATCAATGCTCCAAATAACATTTCAAGCCCATCGTCTCACGGTGGACAATCCGGTCAAGGGACATTAAATCAGATGACTGTGAAATGTCATAATAAAAATGGAATGCTAACAACTTCTTCTCTAAACTAGCTCCTCTGGTTTTTAAACTGTGACAAGGGGGAGCAAGGGTTCAGCATACCCGTTCTGAAAAGGTCATACAATCGCTCTTGGTCTACTACCCATTACTACCCACCCCCTATTGACCTTCCCTCCTTCCCTCCCCTAAAAGAAGAAAAAAAAAAAAAAAAAGAAAAAGAAAAAATGGAATTAGCCATCTTTTCAGAATGTGGTGATCAAATAATGGCTCACACAGGAAAGTCTGCTTAATTCGCAGCCTCTTATGTTTAGCAGTGAGCAGCTACACAGCAGCATCGGAGAGGCTGTTCAGGGCTGCGTCGCAGCAGAGTAGAGGTGAGCCATCTACTTTTCTAGCCAAGATCAGTGCCACATCCAGTCCTTGACTTGAATGTCAATTTTGAAAATAGACATGTTCTTACAGGAAAACATGGAAATGATTTTTCAAATATGTCGTCTCCTTTACGTTTACCCAAACAAGGGATAGTTTGGCTATGATGTGGTATTCATTCATTTCGTAATCTGGATAATGAAAAGGAAACACTGTGAAGTCCTAAGATACAGTTCTTTGTCCTGGTCTTGCTGTAATTATGACACATGAGTTATACTGCGTATCATTGCTTCTCACCAACATGTCTCTAGAGGAAGGTGCAAGCCTGCGCTAGGAATTCAGGACTATGAAAAGTCTATTTAATCCTGGTTCACTTTTAATATATTGAGTGTAATATAATGTGAACATTAGCTGGGACATCCTCATAGTATTTTGGATGTTATTGAGACAATGCTTGAAACAAGGTGGAAGAGCAGATACTCAAATTCTGGATGGTCATGCTCAATTCAGGAAGCCTATCTAGAAAAAAAAAATCAATAATAGATGGATCATTTCTAATTACCCAGGCAGCAGTATCTTCATATATGGGATAATATCAAATAGTAATCCATTAACTATAGCATTATAATACCTAAAAGAAATTTTATATTGATATAGAAATTAATTCCTTTACAATGGTTTTAATTTGTAGGGCTTACTTCTGGTAATAGGAGAGTACATTTTGGTGGGCAACAAAATGTGAAATAATTTTCATAATTGCAATCACATATTAGAAGACACCACAATACCTTGAGCTCTTAGGTGGTTTAAAAATGTATACTCTTTAGCCTTGCTAAGTCACCTCTATTAAACTGTTTATGATAACACCACTGGCAATGAGTTGTACAAGCATTAGCACACAGCTGATTCAGTGCAGATAGCTAGAATAAATTTGCTGAAGCGCACATCCTGCTAATCTGTTTGAAGAATATTGTAGAGCATTAATACCAGCACTTCATGTTATCTGCACAGCCCGATAAGGTACATCTTTATTAAATTCAGTTATTGAAAGGATGTCACTCAGCAAATAGGAATATTTTTTTAAAAAAGAAGCTATTCTTTGTTAGTCAGAGCTTAGTTTCATGGCTGAGTGTCTGGAGAAGTCTTCTAAACACCTGGCAGCATTGTACAATGCAAGCTTTGTGATTTTAAGTGGAAAAGCTTTTTTCTCCAGCTTCATGGGTACTGAGGCATTTACTTTTCCAGGCCTCCATGGCGAGAAAGTGGTGGAGTAAGAGCTCCCCTCTCTGTTGATTCAAGAAAACTACACAGTAAGAAAGATACTGTGAGAGGATGCTGGGAAAAAGGGAAGATCTGGTCTTAAATAATTGGATTTGGTAAAATAAGGCCTCTATTCTACCTCTTCCATGGTCAATTCAAAGGAAGGAGGGTTCCTTGTAATTACATTTTACATTCAATGTTTAAATTAAAGAAATGAAGTGAAGCTTTTTTTTGAAGAGTTAAAAATAAAATTCACTTCTGTGAATATTTTCAAATGCAACACTTCTAATTAATGTGTCATTAACCCCACCTGGAACTTGGAAAGACAAGGACATCTTAATTGCAAATACAGAGTACGGAGAAACAATTTCAAAGTAATGCTGTGTAAACTTGACTTTCCTTAAGGGAAGTTTCCCTGCAGGACAAATTCACTGAGTGGAATCCAAGTTCCAGAGCTTGCTCTGTGCCTGGCTCTGGAGAAGACCAAGGGCAGAGACACTGGCTGGAGATGCCAGAGCTGCCTGAGGTTGGAGCGCCCCAGTCCTCCACCAGACAGCTCCTCAGAAGTACATCTGTGCCCCAGTACATTGGCTGGAACCCCGCCTTGTCACATGGACTCTGGAAGGAGCAGTGCGTACGTACGTATCTCTTTAGTATCTCCTCGCGCTCCTTCTGGTCTTCCAGGGAGTTGGCGGAGAGATCAGAGATGCTGACGGTGGCCGAGGCGGTCAGAGTGACAAGCAGCACCAGGTGTCCCTCACCCTCTTCCAGCTGCAGCTCCAACTTGTGTGTCTGTTCCCTACTCAGGGCCGACAGGTCCACCTGACATCTAGGAACAAATGTTTTCAATCAACCAGTGTGGTGATTGTACTGCACCAAACAGCTGAAGGGTGGGCTTCCCAGAGCTGTGTGAAAAATGAATCAATGCTAATAGTGCTTGGGCCACCAGTAGAATATGTCTTATTTCAGTGACATTCTTCACAGCATCCGGACATGATTAGTTTTGTATTTGCATATTTTCTGTAAGATACAAAGAGCATCAATCTAAAATTTAGTTATTAGTCACTGTCCCCATATTCATAAAGCAGCATGACTTCCTGTTCTCAGGTGGCCTAAGGAACTAAAAAAGAGAAAGTGGCTTGTAGAAAGATTTATGGGCAGGGTCTAAAGAGGCAAAATACCAAGTGTCTGAATTTTTGTGTCATTTTTTAAACAATGGGTATTCCTCTTCACTCATGTTCATTAAGCAGAAAATAAAATATGTACAATGGTGATATCACAGTTTTATGCTTTGAAAACTAGGCCAGTTGAGTCAGTATGCAGGCAATCTAAGTAAAAACCACAGATTCCCTGAAAAAAAATGTGGTCCACGTGTTATATCCTCACAGTGGTTTCATTCCATCTGTTACTCTCAAGCTAAAAACCTTTTGAAGCGTTTTCATAAACATGTTAACTGGTAGTCAGGTGTGCTGACACATGCTGGGGATCTCTGTGTTCTGAGAGACTGAGGCAGGAAGACGTCAAGTTGGAGCCTAGCCTGGGAAATTTACCAACTTATGGGAACACTGTCTCAAAAAAAAAAAAAAAAAAAGGTTTGGAGACATAGCTCAGTGCAAAGGTCCTGGGTTCAGTTCCTAGAACTATATACAAAGGAAGGAAGAAAAGAAGGAAAGAAGGAAGGAGGGAAGGAAGAAAAGACACAGTCAATTGATCTTGAAAGGACTAACCACCTCAGAGAAGGGCGGCAGATGTGAATAAAAGTATTTGACACACGAAATAGCCTATTACAACAATCAGCGTAACCATCGTACATAAATAAGGCAGTGGGATGCCCTACGTTCAGGGCTGGACTACATTTTCTCCCTTTTCATTCCTCTGCCTCTCTATTGTCATGAACTGGGCCCCACAGCCTGAAGTTGGGGTTCACTGAACTAAAGCTTAAGTTTCTTTTGACTTCCAGGGAGCCACGGTAGCAACTGGATCCAAATAAGGCGGAGAATGTTGGTGGAGAGGTGAAGACCTAATGTGACCGCCGGGTCAGCAGCAGGAGATCCGTGTGCTTACAGCTAGCTGTGACCAAGGCCGGGAGAGGTAAGAGTTTCTTGGAAAACTTTCTCCAGGTGAGGGTGTACTTCCAGGACCTCCCGGTTTCTGCCCACACCACAGCCATCTTGGCCTGCTCTCACACTGTCTTCTTAAATGCTCAGTAGTGCAAACACATATGCAATGCCTTACCTAATACTCTAACAGTAACAAGAAGTGACTGCTTATGAAGAACACCTGGTAAAAATTGAGAGCAAAAAAGCACAGTAGTGAACAGCAGCCACTCCTGAGGATTTCCTAATAGAAAGGAAACGTGAATATGGTTTTGTAGGTCTGTCCAGCCCCAGGCTCAGGGCCTGGCCCGTCCTTGTCAGAAGCGAATGGCTACTGGGCTTACAGCAGGAGTATGCTACTAGAGGACTGGACAGGATGGGAATATACCAGTACCTGGGGTGGGGTGGGGAGACAGTGGGGAGCCGGAAGGGACTTCTGCGCCCCCTGTTTTCTTTTGCTTTTTCATCTCCACCCACTTTGCCCACATATTTCCCAGGCTGTTCCTCACTTATTCTTTCACAGGCTGCTGTGGCACTCTGACACACTGCTGTGCCCTGACTCCTTCCAGAAGATTCCTTCTTCCCACCCCCTGCTCACAGCCTCCTCCAGTGGTAGGCAAAGTGTGCTCAGAATGATTTGCTGCAGGCATCGCCGATGCTTTCAGAAAGAATCTGATCTACAGATTGGTTGCTTTTTGCTTATAGTGCTGAAGAAAAGTTTGGACTCTAGATACAATCATTTTACATACAGAACAAATGTTCTCCGAGGTAAGCACTGTCCCCCATGCTGCCCGGTAGTCACAGTCACCACATCTCACCCAATTACTCTGCCTGGTTCGGATAGGCATAAGAAGTTGGGATCCCTGCCATCTTCAATTTGCCAATGAAAACACGGGGGGCCCAGGAAGTTCCAGACTTCATGGACATACACAGTTGTCAGCAGTGTCAGAACTGGATCCCTCCAATCGGGAACCCCAAGTAAGCTTTTCCTCACCCCAGTTGTCACTAAATGACCTTCCACCTTGGAGGAAGTTACATTGTTAGCAGCAGTTCTCAAAGGGTCTAATATCTAAATGTGGTTTTGACAGGAAAAAAATACTTCAATTTGCAAATGTAGAATTGTGTTGTTTTTACCAGAATGCTTTAAATATATACATAGATGAAGCAGGCTATTAGCTATGTTCCTGCAAGGTGACTAAGAAAGCTTCCTAACTTAAGTTTTAAGAACTATGAAACTAGTGAAACTTAAATGAGCAATATAAATTTATAGGGAGTATAATACTTTTCCACAACAAGTACAATTTTCATTTTGAATATACGCATAGAAGTGGGGAGAGGGTGGAAAAGGAAGAAGATGAAAATGTAATGGGATGAAAATAATCGGGGCTGGAGAGATGGCTCAGTGGTCTAAAGCACCTACTTAGAACAAGCTTAGCAAAGCATTAGGGACTGCGGTTCGATCCCCCAGCACCACATGCCAGCCCCGCCCCCTGGTGGGCTGAGCTGGCCACACACACCACACACACTCTGTCTCTCTCTCTGTCTCTCTCTCTCTCTCAAATAAATAAAAATTAAAAAAAATTGTTGATAAAAAAGAAAATAATCAAAATGTGTGCTATGCATGTACCAGTGTACTAAAATAAATCTCATTATTCCATTCCACTAACCTGAACCAATAAAAAACTAAATCACAGCTCTTGTCCCATCTTTAGTGTTTCAGAATTTTGACTTCAATAATTCTAATGTAGAAAGTATTATTTACAGAAGTATGCTGGATAAGAGACTGGTAGCACCAAGCTTCTAGTTGAGGTTGCACAGACCCCCAATTTATCTAATAACTCTCCACAGGAATAAAATGACATTTTCAACGTGACCTACAATTAAGGCAATTGTTCACATGAGGATAAGGTTTGTATTACTGCTTTAGCAATGGGCATGGAACAAAATTATGGCTTGAGGTAGGTGGAGAAAAAGCAAATATTCAAGGACAGAACATCTGAGATACAGTCTACAGTGGTGAAAACATGTCCCCCGTTGCTGGGGGACAGAATTCCTCTCCTCTCCTCGGCTCACTTGCTCGGTTCAGTCCAGCACAAAGAAATGATCCACTGTATTCCAGATGTGGAAGTACTATGTGGACATCTGATAGTTCAGTTCTGGCATACAGGGATGGTTTTATATTGTTATTTCTATGAAAACACAAAATTCAAAAACCACAGACACACACTTATAAACTCCAAAAATACGTTTACAGAGGGAAGAGCCTAGAGTCAGATTCCCTTGGTTCTAGCCCTTCATTTTTCACTAATTAGTTCTATGACCTTTTCAAGGCAACTCATCCTCTTGAATTTTACTTTTCTCATCTGCAATTATAAGTTAATTGAACTAGATGAACTTTAAAGTTTCAAAAATCCCAAATCCCATGATTTGTTTTAAACCTCTCCATGTTTACATGTGCTACACCTTTCTTTACAATTCACAAACCAAAAGCCCAAAAGAAGAAGTTTATCTTATAGACAGTGAAATATTATTTCTCAGATGTATTACTGAAGAAATCTGAATGTAGGTGCAAAAAGCAATCTAATCTAATCTAATCTAACATAATCTAATCTACTCTCAGATTGCATTGCCAGGAACACTGGCTATACCTATAAATTTACCATGTGAGGGAGTGTGCATAAGGGGGCTGTAGATTTTCTTCTTTTATGAAAGAATAACTCCCCTTATATCTGTTTTACATTGCAGGCTCCACCCATGTGATATGGAAGCTTATGTGACACGTTTGAGGCACCACCTCCCTTGATTCTCCAGGAGCCAGGTCTCCTGGGCCCTTGAAGCTGGTGCTGTGGCTGTGGGGTTCTCTGGGCCTCCTGCTCTTCTTTTCCTTAACCAAATGGGCTACTGCCATGCATTTAGGCCAAGCACCACTTGCCTGGAGTTTCTAGCTTTGGGAGGCAAAAACCACACTGTGGCAATGAGATTCAGTGTCCAGATCAACAGCTAAGGAGGCCAGGTGAATAGTGCAGAGGTGGTCTTCAGGTGGGTTAGCTTGGACCAGTGGGATGGAGATGAGAAGGTAGCTTCTCATGTGTCTCCCTTCTTGTGGGCTATTCTAAAACATGATTCTGTTTTACCTGACTGCTGTCCAAGTAGGTGTCCCGCTAAACTACATCTGTATCTCTGAAACAGGAAACGATGACCAGCCTAGTAACCAATGATCTTCTACTGCTCTCTAGTCTTCCCTGCCTGGAGGTATTTGTCTCACACTCTCACTGTCTTGGACTGTATCTCTCAGTAAATCATCAGCACCTAATTGTTGCCCAGAGTTCTATCTCAAAAGAACCTAGCTAAGGCAAAAACCATGGACACAGGGCTGGGGATATAGCTCAGCTGCACAGAGCCTGTCTGAAAAGTGCAAGGTCCTAAGTTCAATTCCTGGTATCAAAAATAAAACAATTCTCCCTCCCCGCCAAATGGCACAGTTTGCCCTTTATAGTGATGGATGTTGAGGACACACACCTGACCATGTCTTTTCCCTGGATTTCTGACACCCATGAAATATCTTTAGGCAGGCAACAGTGCCCTCCACAAGCTATCACTGATTTGTATGTCACTTTCTCATGCATTTGTACCTGTCATTCGGATGGCTTATAATCTACTCAGCATCTATGTGAAACTCACTTGTTTCAATAGGTTTGGATGGGCATCCTCTGCCTGAGATAATACGTCTGTC